CTGCCTCCCACTCCAGCCCCGCGGTAGCCACCCCAGCCTCGCCGCGGGTGTCCACGGCCGCCCTCTCTCCTCGAGGTCTGCTCCGCGATCCCTCCCTCGCCCATCCCCGGCTCCACTCCCTTTCCCCTCAGCTGTGTCCCCCTTCCTCCCGCCCCTTTCCCAACCTCCCGGTCACTTGCTGGTGCCCTTGGGTCCGCGGAGTGTAGAAGGAGCGATTCTCGGGTCCCCGGGCTCCCGGCTTTGGCCGCCAGGGAGCAGCAAGTGCCTGGGATTGGTGGACGGCGGACTGAACCGCGCAATGGCGTGGTGAGTCGCCCCCTGGGACTCCCTGGATGGATCTGTCGCACCTCTTCCTTCTCTCAGGCCACTGGACAGGGGAGGGTCTTAAACACCTCTATCCAGTGCGGTGGCGAGGAGAGAGCCCGGGAGGGGGTCAAATGCCTGTCCCGGCTTGGGATGGACGAAGAAACAAGAGACTATATGGTGACAGACCTGGGAGCCCGACCAGAACACATCGGTTTGCATATACTAACTTCTGCAGTTACTTTGCTCCAAGTCAGACGTCAGAAAAAAAATCCTTGCTACACTAAATAAGCGGCTCCTTTCTGGGGCGGGAGGGTTGAAGTGCTGGAGGGTGGGAAAGAGCACTTGGTAGATGGTTAAGGTGGGGGCGGAGGCTGCAGACAGTCTGGCTCCAAATCTAGGCTCTACCTCATATTAGCTGTTTGACTTCTTTGTGCCTCAGTTCCTCATCTGTAAAATGAGGCTAAGAGTAGTGTCTACTTAATGGCGTTACAATGAGCTAATGTGTTAAGGCCTCAGAGCTGGCCTGCATTTGCTAGCTGAATGGGGCTTGGTAGGGCAAGGTTTGAACAGGGAGCACAGAAGGCAGAAGGGGTCATGGAACTGGTACAAACCGTGGATAGAGGTGGAGGGGAGGGTTTGAGGAGCCTCTGTTGACTAGGTAGGACTGGGTAGGGAGAGATAAAAAGAGATTACGCATTAGATCAAAATAAATAACTTGGCCACGCTGCTGTCATGGGGTGGGCCCTGTGCTGGACACTCTAGGTGGCAGGGGAAGGGAGGGTTGCAGGGAGGATAGCATCATTGTGTACCAGCAGGATGAGGAAGGCTCGTGCCATGCCGGGGAGATGAGAGCCTGTCTGGGAGGAGGTGGAGAACTCACGGCCTTGGTACCCACTGGCTGTGGATGACAGGGGCAGGATGTCTACAAGACCTAGATGAGAAGGTGATTTGAAGAAGAAACAGAAATGTTGAGAGAGGGGTAACCCCTTGGACCCCCTGCCCGTTTCCCCAGCCCAGGAAGCCAAAGCTGTTCTAGTCATAGTTTAGAAATAGCTCTTCCAACGCCCTTCCCAAGTTTCCCCATTATGGTCTTCCATTTTCACCTGGGTCTTGGATAATTGACCAGAGATGAAATGAAAGCAAGGTGAGCCTGGAGACCCCACTGGCCCTTGGGTTCTTTGTGATCCAGGGCCATGGCTTCCGTTTAAAATGGAAAACTAAACATCTGTGCTCATCTCCTCCCCCTGCTGAGACCCCTTTAGAGTGAGAGTAAAGAAACAGGAAAGGTTCATCCTATGAGTACGAGTACGTTAACTCCTAGGTTGATAAACCTCAACTCCAGCCCCTAAAGAGGAGGCTTGAAGGACGAGGTCATGAAGGGACTATTCCTCTCCGGTGAAGATGGTGCAGGCAGTTTGCACTTTCGGAGTCAGATGCTGCATGAAGAAGAATGCTGATGGAGAAGGCGTTCCTGACAGAAATCATGCTTGTGGGGACGAGCCAGTCAACCCCCAGCTCCCTTCCACCCCACCAAGCCTGGGCAGCCTTTATTATTCATTCAACACAAGTTAACGAAGCCCTAGCTTATGCCAGGAACTGTTCCTGGCACTGGGGATATAATGTTGAATAAAGCAAAGTTCCTACCATCCCGAGGCTCACATTTAAACAGCAGGGAGTGCTACCCAAAAGAGTTAGGAGGAAGGCTGTTCCATTGCGATGGACAACAGTTTCCTCTGGGTTGCATATCTGGGTCCTGGAGATGATCTTCAATTAAATCTTCAAAGAAAATCCAAATCCAAACTCTTCCAGTACCTCCTCACCTCTGACTAGCAGCCGAGCCTGAAAGGGTACAAAATCATGCACGTCACTGGCAAGCATGGCTAAAGCTGCCACTTCCTGGGGTCAGTGCCTATGAAGAACATGGACTTCCATCCCAATCTTCAGTTGCAAAGGGTTCTGTCGCCCTCGTCTGACTTTTAAGCTTCCTGTGGTCTGACTTACCCCTGGCTACAACCTAACCCACAACCTAAGCCTTCCTGATCCCCCTAATTGTGTCATTTACACCAGATACACACTGTGGTCAGGGCTGGGTGAAGGGGTGAGGGCTCAGTGCTACCCTCTCCCAGGACAGCAGAGTGGTGCTCAGGACAGGCCACCTGTGAAGTTCCAGAGTGAGGAACTCAGGGTTAGGGCGTATGTGGGGAAAGCACGTTGTTTCTGCAGGAAGGAGAAACTTTGCAATCCATCCTCCCAGCACCATCAGAGAGGCTGCAGGGGACTTGAGGCCAGTTTATGATTTGATTATTTATGCTAATTTTTGCCTGAAATTAATGGAGTCAGAAGTTAGTGACTATATTTCCCATCATGGTAGAGACGGGATGGGTCCAATGGAATGATATTCCTACTCAGAGTCTGGCAAGCAGCCCACTGCTCGGGAGATCCTTGGGGTGATTGTTTGCTTGCAACTGTGTTTGCTCCTAAGAGACATTCTTTTTTCTTTTTCTTTTCTTTTTTTCTTCAAGGAGAGGAAATAAGCTGGGAAGCAGGATATTGGATACATTTGGAAGAACCACTAGGGCGGAAAACTCAGAGTGGGGCAGAGATTAGTTATGGTGAGTTAAAAACTTTATTTCTCATTTACTCCGGCAGCTCTGGTGGACAGAGCTCCAGGGGGCAAGGGCAACTCAGGGATGCACGCTCCTTCTAATGTGTGGCTTCACTGTTGCCTAGAGCCTGGGAATTCTCCAGGGGCCTGGAGTCCTCTTCTAGATGGTCTGTATTCAAAGGCCCCAAGAACCAATGGGGAATGTGGAGGGTTACATAGACATTTTAGGAGGCAAGCACACCACCTGTGTCCAAGGCCATGCCTCCACTTAGATGCAAGGGGGAAACGTGGTTCAGCCAAGTGCCCAGAGAAAAGGGGAATAGATTTATTTGATGGCGATCCAGCCTGTTCAGGCTGCAGGACAGGAAGAGTTGCAGGAAGACTCAACCTGAACATTAGTTAGGCGATGCCTGATGGATAGATTATGAAAAGAGCGCATAGATTGGCTGCTCTCACGTTCCAGTTAACACTCTACCCAGCAGACCCGGCCCAACATGCATATTTCTAGCATGGCTTATTAAAAAAGGGTCAGAATGGGAATGACATTTGGGAATGAGCTGGTGACAATGACAATTCAATGCACTCAGCTCTCGGAATGCAAAAGGAGAGTTGAGGTGGGCAGTGGAGTTTCAGCTAGCATTGCTCTAACCTTCATGGAGAGTAAGCAGTCCCTCTCTGGTAGAATCCATCTAGTGACAATGGGAATCTCTTTATTAGTGCTTGAAATTCCACCCTTATAATCTGGGTTATTTAACTCCAAGAACCAGTGCTTTTCATTACATCACAAATTCTTTGACCTCCTAGTAGAGGTGACATACAAGGTTGATATCTCCTCCCGCCCCATGAGATCCGATTATTGTAAGATGGGGAACTGGGACGAGTGGGGAAGATGTTCCATAGGGATATTCTGAGGTCATGAAAAGAAAGATGAGAAAGTTCCAGGGATAAACTTTGCTAACCTGACAAATTCTGTGACCCTCAAATGGAGCAGCAAATGCGAATGAGGGAGATTTCCTAACACAGAATTAAAATAAGTCAGTCAACGCAGAGGAAGTGGCCTATAATCAAGTTGCTAGGCCAGGCAGGGTTGCATGACTCCAAACCCAATTAGGGAGGCTGAGACAGCTCCTGCTGGGATGTCCGCCCTCCAGCTCACAAATGAGATGGCCTGGAGCCATTTTCCATTTCCTTTCTTCTGGGCCAAGATTCAATCTCTGGAGAAGAAAGTGAAGAAAAGAGGATTTCTTTTGAATAATTCCCTGGAGGAATGGAAAGATGGAGGAAGCAAAAAATCCCAAGTGTCCCAGGAAAAAAAATTAGGTGAGGCTGGCCTCCCCACTTCAGTGTTCTCTATGCCTTATACTTGAGATCCTGCCAGTTCTCCCTCTCTCTCTCTTCTCGTGAGTTCATCACTTAATCTTTCTAAACCTCCATTTGTAAAATGGTGATAACTTGGTCCCACATGACCATTAAGTGTCTGCAGAAATCCCATTTACCTCCTAGTCTGGGTCCCCCTATCTTTGACTGATTCCTCGCTCGGTAGAGCGGTATTTAGTAATTCCATTGTTTTCCTGTGATACCTGGAGATAGTGACCTTCTTGGGCTTTCCAGTGACTGTGGCATTTTGCCTTTTTGTGCTCAGTCGCTAGTGCAGTGCTGGCCTCTTGAAGTTGCTCAGTGAATGTTTGTTGAGTCAGTGGATGAAAGTATGAATCAACAAATGAATGAATGAATGAAAGTATGAAGGACTGTGTATCTGAGTGTCACTGAGGGTTAGACTATATGTCTCTGTCCCAGAGTGTCAGCCTTTTGCAAGAGATGACTGGGATGGCTTTCGTACATTCTAGGGAACTTGGTCTGTCTAGGGCAGTGATGGTGAACCTTTTGAGCTCAGCATGTCAACATTTTGAAAAACCCTAACTTAACTCTGGTGCCGTGTCACATATAGAAATTTTTTATATTTGCAACCATAGTAAGACAAAGATTTATATTTTTGATATTTATTTTATATATCTAAATGCCATTTAACAAAGAAAAATCAACCAAAAAAATGAGTTCGCATGTCACCTCTGACATGCGTGTCATAGGTTCGCCATCACTGGTCTAGGGCATGAATGGACACCTTTCTCCTAGAAGGAGTGCTTCTGAGGGGCACCAATGGGGATCTGGATTAGAGTGCTACATGCCCCTGCTCCCAAAGAGGGAATAGAATGTGCCTAACCTGTGCTTGTAGTTCTTGGCTTGGGTTATTGTCTAGGGCCTCAGGCCTTTGAAGGAAGGTAGTCATGCATGGACCCTGTGCATGCTCTGATCTGGGAATAAGGCTGCTCTGGTCTATACATCCGTAGTGGAGGAGAATTAATGACTCACCCAGTTAATATCCTTTGAAAACATCTGGTTCTACCAACTGGCCACCTTGAGAGTGATAGATTATGTGAGTAAAGGTCACAACCATATATATTTTTTCCATTTTGAAAACCAGAGGCTAAATGTTGGTATTTTATATTGGCTTCTTTGAGTCCCTCTAGCGATCTGTTCTTTGGTGGTTTAGTTAGGATCATAACCTTGTGTAGTGGGTTGAATGGTGGCCCCACCACCCCACCCAGACATATGTCCACGTGCTAATCCCTGGAACCTGTGAATGTTACATTATTTAGGAAAAGCGTCTCTGCAGATGCAATTAAGTTGAGGATCTAGAGATGAGGAGATCATCCTGGATTATCCAGGTGGACCCTGAGTTCGTTGACAAGTATCCTTACCTGAGTGAGCCAGGGGCAGATGAGACCCAGACCCAGAGGAGAAAGTGATGTGAAGGCAAAGGCAGGGATTGAAGTAATGTGACTACAAACCAAAGAAGGCCAAGGATTGCCGGCAGCCACCAGGAGCTGGAAGAGGCAAGGAATGCATTCTTCCCTAGAGCCTTTGGCAGGAACACAGCCCTGCTGACACCTTGAATTTTGGACTTCTAGCCCCAGAACTGTGAGAGAATAAATTTCTTTTGTTTTAAGCCACTAGTTTGTGTTATTTTGTTACAGCACCAACAGGAAACGAATATACCTTGTTTGCTACAATGATCTGCCAAAGCATTTCCTTTCGAGTGTCACAAACAGTGTCAAGACCTTTTCCTGGTGTATGCATCAAATATAATGGAGAAGGTACGGGTATATCACAGCAGACACAACCTCATTGTAATAGAAAAGTCCTTTGGAACCTCAAGAAATAATTCTTCTGGCATATAGTTGAATTACAGTAGTCCCCCTGCCCCTTATCCACAGAGGATATGTCCCAAGACCCCCCCCCCCACCCCCCCCCCCCCCAGTGGATGCCTGAAATTGTGGATAGTACCGAACTTCAAGCAACTTCTTCAACTCTGCTGCAAATGTGGCAGCAACTTCTTTATCGGCAGATGCAGCCTCTTCAGTCATTTTTATGTTTTTCAGTCTAAACCTATTCCTGAATTTGTGAGTCATCCCTTTCTTGTCATCCATTTGGATATGGCTTTTAGGAGGTTTTGCCCTACTTCTGGGCCTGTTTTTGACTTTCAGGTTTATTGTGGAAACAGGAATTTATGTCAGTTCATGTAAAATTGATATAGATCAGGTGACCCTCATTCATATGTAGTCAAAAGAATTCTAAATTCTTCTATGAATAGTTGCTGGTATTGTCTGGGTTTAGGGAAATCCTTAACTATAGTTTTTAATTCAGCTCCATCCCAAGGTTTAAAGTATACATTTTTCTACATAACTGGTTCATGGAAGGGATGTATCTTTAGAGGCAACTGGCATTTCAGGATCTTAGGAGTTGTTGGGAAAGAGTAGGGGCTGGACAGGAAAAGAGGAGGGCAGAGTTAAGAGGGATATGGAGGGGGAGCAGTTGGAAGGATAAGGGGGATGAGGCAGGGCTGGGGTTTGGGGGGCATATTTGCCTTTCTCTGATTGGCCCTGAGTTGGAAGCAGGTACAAAAAATAAAGAAAATGGAAGTCGTTTACTAATTCCTGGCTGTTCTGGGCTGATTGCTGTAGGCGTTTTGGTTTCCTGGGCTGGTAGCTACAGATTGTGGGACATAGTTCTATTGTTATATATGGTCTGGCCATTATATATTTGTATATTCAGTCTCTGAGGATTGATTGGTTTCTTGCCCCAGAAAGTTCACAGTCTGGGTAAGGAAAGAATATGTATATTAAAGGACAAGACTGTTTGTGCCTGGGATTAGGGCATCCATCTGAGGCCAGGCTGAGGGATCAGGCTGTGGGAAGAGTAAGGGTCAAGTGATAGGCAGAGTGAGGGCCAGACTGTGGTAGAGAGTACTCAGGGGTTGGGCTGTGGGCAGGGGAGGAAGGAGGTTGGCCAGCGGCCTCTTTCTGAAAGTAGGGTACCAAGAAGGGCTGATTTAGTGAAGTTGGCCCCATCTCTTCCTACTTTAAAAAAATATGCATTTTTATTGATTTTAGAGAGGAAGGGAGAGGGAGAGAGAGACAGAAACATCAATGATGAGAGAGAATCATTGATGGGCTGCCTCCTGCACGCTCCCTACTGGGGATCGAGCCTACAACCTGGGCATGTGCCCTTGACTGGAATCCAACCCGGGACCCTTCAGCCCACAGGCTGACGCTCTATCCACTAAGCCTAACCGGCTAGGGCACTTCCTACTTTCTTAACATCTTTTTTGGCATTGAGAGAGCTTCCTCAGCTGTACCTGGCACCTTTTGGCGGGGGGTGGAGGGGTGGACTTTTAGATATATTCTAAGGTTGGGAGACAGTGATGTGGCTTTGATAATAGGGGCTAGGGAGAAATTACAGCCTGCAGTCTCTCCCTGCTGTGTGAGAAAGGCGCCATCACACCTGCACACAAAGATGCTTTGACAGTTGCATCCTCTGACAATCCAGAACTACTCCTGTGCCATTGTATTAGGAATTAAGATTCTGCGATGCCACCAATCTCCCAGGCTGGTAGGGGTGGGGAAATGGCAGGAATGATAGGGCCATTGTTCCTTTCATTGTGCTGTT